TAACATGTGTACAAACTCCTAAGGGCTGATCTGTTTACAAAGTATACTAACAATATATTCCGTGATATGATATTTGATCATTTTGTAGTTTTAATTTTTGTTTTGCTTTCGACTCTTTTCCGTAACTTCTGCCGTTCTCATTGAGAGTGATGAATGTGCCCCAGGATATATATAAAAAAAATCATTGTTATGTGCAGCGTCTTCGATCCATCACTGACTAAATCAGTATGGAGCACACTACTATGACCTTTTCATGTTTTATCCCAGCATCAGAGTCCAGATACGTATCGATATCGCCTAACTGCGGTCTCCACGGCGCATTGGGTTGTCTTTTGTGACACACACTGCGACTGATCTTAAAAAACAAACCTGTTTGCGGTTCAGCATAAAGTGTACACACACACACACACACACACACACACACACACACACACACACACACACACACACACACACACAGGTCAGCCATGGAATAGATGAGCCGTGTTGGTGGCTATCCCTTTCTCTGCCAGAGATTCCTGCTATGAAGTTTTCATCAGTGATTCTTGTCAGCCACAGCTCAGCGACCTGTTTGATGTTAAGGATTCCAGCAAATATGCTGAGCCGTGAGCGAATGACCTTCAGCGTGGTTCAGTGAAGGTAGCATCCTTTACTATGCACCTTCTGCAAATAAAAACATATGCTTTATATTGGCGCCTCTGACCACCAATTTTACAATATTCCTTCTTGTTACTTGTTTGCCATACATCCATTTTCAGGTTCATATTTTTATGTTGTGCCTCTACTGTGACATGTTTACATGCTTTAAGGTTCAAAAAGTGCTTTATTTTTCACATAAATGGTGGGATTAAAACCCCCTCTAGACAGAAGCTTCAGATTGTTAGGTTTAGGGGGGGGGGGATATTCACAAAGCTTTTTTTACAAAGCTGACAAACAGTTGATAGAGAATATAGAGAATACTGGTGGTTTAAGTGTCCTACCAGATGATATATTAATGAATGTTGATGCACAAACCAAGCTTGTGAACTGCTAAACACGGTATCATGCAATGATAAATAACAGCAACATCTGTTATTGCTTTAAAATGTTGCAAAAATAAATACACTATTAATATCTTTGGAGTAGCCACACGTTGATAACAAGCTGCAATTGAAATTCCAGCTTGGTGTTGAAATGAAACCAAACATGTATTTCCTCCTCTTTTTTCCGTTTAGCAAATGTAATAAAAGAGCCCATTAATTTAGCTAATGGAAACATGCCCTTTGCCGTGTTTACCCTGGCATTAGTGCTGAATTATCATTTGATTAGTGTAGCTGCTGTGCTCGGTTGATTAGAATGGAGATGGCATCCTGAACGTGTTGAATCTCAAATTGAAGAACAGTTTCCAAGAAGGACAGATGCACAGCCCCTTCTGTCTCGGGGATTTGGCCCGACCCGTGTGCCATCATGGCCGATAGTCTGCGGGTACAGCTATGAGTCACTCTCCCACTGCTGCAGTGCACAATCACACACCTTTGCAGCAGGCAGCAGGACTCACTTCAGCTACAGCAGACCACTGTCATCAGCCGGTGGAGCAACAAGAAGGAGGTGATGATGATGAGGGGCTTTATTCCTTTTTAGTTCTTGAAAATATTTCATTTTCTCACAATGGAATATCTATGATTTGTATTTTTTGTTGGAAATGTCTTGGAATGATCTAAGCACATATTTTGTTAAAGTTTTGACATTAAAATCAGGACTTTCATAATTTTCTTTTTTACTCTCGAGGGTTGCGCTGACACACACACCCTGAGGCACTGGGTAAAGAATAAGCACATATAACACACCCTCCCTTGATAATTGCCTACTCAGAAAATGATGAAGTCGGTATTATAACTTCCACATACAGCTCGAAACTGACACGCAGATAATTCACTACAGCTCTCACAAAACAGACGAACTCCCCAAGGACAGAATGAGCTGTCGACATGAGGCTTTATTTGACTACTTATATCAGTAACTTCACAAAAGAGAGATGAGTAATAATATAAAGAAGAAGCTGGACTACAATGAAATCCATATCAATGTATTTTGTGCAACTCCTCTCAGATTTGGCACTGAACTTATAACACAAGGACCGTAACTAATGATTTTTTTTTTCTCTTAAAATGAACCAGCTGATGAATTCCCCTCATTTTGAAAATGAAATGGAAAATAAGGAACATTTTTCCTTCAAAATATGCTTTATCCACCCAATACTTTATTTTATTATGAAGCATAAGAAAGAGAAAAGCTTCACATCTTTGTATTTTGAGAACCTTGAATCAGAGAACATTAATGGACATAAAGATGAAAACAAATTAAAATGTTACAGAAGCCCAAGAAAACAAACGGAGAACAAATGATTAGAACAAAATATGAAATAAAGGAAATTACATTGAACAACCTATATACAATAAAACATTGTACGCCATTTATTTGTGGTTATAGTTCCTGGTTATTGTGTATAAACTTGTTAGTTTCAGTGCCGTTCAGACTTAGCCATCTGTGGCAATAAAAACATGCTGTTGGCTGATGGGAAATGGGAAAAGCCCTCCATCATGTCGCAGCACAGTTAGAGGGAACCCGCAGTCACGAATCTGCTGCCCCGAGACCTCCAACAAGACTTCCCTTTCATCAGCTCGTCCCATGAGGGAAGCAGCCACCATAACATTTAGTCCTGGTCTGCCCTCGCAGACACAATCACAGCATGAGACAACTTTAAAATGAAGACAGATCTGCCTCTCTGCCTCACTGTGCACTCACAATATTGTGTTTGCCTATTGGTCTCTCCTTCCCCTTATGTTTCAATATTGCCATCCTCTCAAAATAGGTTAGCTCGGTGTCAAAGAGTATACGCTCGGTTTGCCTGCGGGTGATTTGTTGAAATTTACCAGGATATATATATATATATTGGCGCGAGAGTATTATGTATTTTTCTCATCTAAGGGTGCCCTTCATCAATTTTGCAAAGCAGGTGGATGACTCCCCTCGATTTGACCCCCTGTTCACATCTGAATAAAGCTGTATCATATGCTGATGTCAGCCTGGGTAATCTGCATTTAATGAGCAGCTTTGCATCCGTAATTTCCAAAAATGTAGAAGTGTTGCATGTTGTAACATAGTATCTGATTGCAGCATCAATAGTTCCACATTTTATTTCCATTTCATGAGCCAGGGTGGTGAAATAATGACAGCAAGTCTGTTTACAGGCATGAGGACATCAAATAATCCCCCTTTTTAACAGCTCTGTTAAACAAAATGGCTGCAAAGGGTTTCACAGGGTTGTGATCAATGTCAAGCCTCAACAAGTGTTTAATGAGTTTCCCTTTGTTCAGTATATTTCACTGTTGTTTTCCAGAATGTATGTCTATTAGCTAAACCATTAGGACCTTATCAGACTGCATTTCCATCTTGTTTTTGTGATTCACATTGTGCTGGAGGTGTTTCACTGATTGTTAGACCACTGAGATAATTCATCCAATTTCAGGCAGTAGTCACAGAACGCTTTCAACAACTTATATTTTCATATGCAGTAGCAGTGTTGTGTAAATGGACTTTGTGTAAAATCAGCTTTAATGATCTTGAAAATATGCAAATGTATGACTTGTTATCATTCATCTAACAGCAACCCATAAAGGTCTCATCTTAACAGTGGTTGTTGCCATTTATTGAGCCATTTTCCCTAGCTATTCTTTTGTACAGTACGATGATTTTCCCACTCTTGATTCATACAAAGCCTGGATTAGTTGTGTATATGTAGACGGTGGAAGCAGGGAGAGGCATATACGTGCCTTGATCCCTGCCGAGTCGACGGTTAACTGTTGATTGGTTTCAGTGCCAAAACAACTTTTTAGGAGCAATGCGCTCATGGTATAGATGGGGCGCATACATCTTAGTTCCTACTCTTTTCTCTCACCCTATCCTAAGGGAGTGCATGTACGTAGACACGTTGTGCCTCTCCACCTCTGTTCCTTACTTCTTACTTGCTACCCCTTTCCCTCAACCTATCGTAAAGGAGTGCATGTATGTAGACACGTTAGTTTTGCTGCTATAGGCTTAGACTGTCGGGGGACACCTTACTTCTTCCTTCTGTCTGTCTGTACTCTCATGTTCCGAATAACCCAGCTTCCCCCACATTTCTTTTTGGTGTCTATCTACGGCGGGATCCTGAGTCGTGACTGATCCTGTTGCTGCGGTCCTGTGTCCTGGATCCTGCATCCTGAGTCCTGGATCCTGAGTCCTGGATCCTGAGTCCTGGATCCGGAGTCCTGGATTCTCTATCCTGAGTCTTGGATCCTGAGTCCTGGATCCTGAGTTCTGGATTTGAGTCCTGGACTTCGAGTCGTGGCTGAACCGATCACTGTGGTCCTGCCTGACTCTCATCATACTACTTCCCTGAGGGCTCCCACAGGATTGTTGACATCCTCGTGGATTCATCTTCTTATTACAGACACATGCATTTCCAAACATTTGGTCTACCTACAGTGGGGAAAAAAAGTATTTAGTCAGCCACCAATTGTGCAAGTTCTCCCACTTAAAAAGATGAGAGAGGCCTGTAATTTTCATCCAAACAACATACGAAAAGACAATACTGTACAGGACACTACAACACCATTGATAAAGGTATAAACAAAACTGACACAAAAACAACCAATGGAATAAACACAATCTTCTGGTTGCATGAGAGATTCGTATTATGCAATCAAATAAATGAATAGGCTCCAAGCCGAAGCCTAAACAC